ACTATATTATCCTCATTTAATTAATAATTTCAATTCTTAATGTTTGCATTAACCAAGGGCATTTTATGGTATTTTGAATGTTTCACAATTCTTAATGTTGGGCAACAATAACACACATGCAGAAGCTTTGTTGGCCTATGCCGATCTGGAAGTAATGGAGGATCTCCAAGGTCGGAGACTTAAGGGCTCTACTCGCCGCTTCAAGAATAGGAGTCCTGGACGTGGTAGTGGCAACGATGATTTGACTCCTGGCTTTCAGGGGCGTCGACAGCATGGCGGAAACTGTTGGGGCCGCAGAGATGGTAGTCGTGCGGACCAGCATGGTACGTGGAGGGGTAAAAGAGTTCAAGGGGCAGAGCTGGAAGACATTGCTGCGTCACCAAACAAGTTTGGCTCTCGGCTTTCGGCTGTTGCTGACTTGATACGCCGTCAACGATAGGGGGAGGAAAGGAATCAACAACTTAGATAGGTGGCATGGGAAGCTGGGCTAATCTTTGGACGTGGGGACTCCCGGGAAGGGACCCTTTCTCATAACTCAGCTTCCAATACGGTTTCTTCTAGCACACGGCAGGGGGATAATCATGCCTACCATAGTGGGCCAGGTTACATGCAGGATGCGGAAGCAGTGGGTGAGGGTTTGGATCTAAATGTTACTGTAGAGGAGCAAGTGCTAGTTGTAGGCGGAGGTGATAGTGTGGGGGAGCAAGTAGTGGGAAATCTTGGCTTGGGACGTTCGTGGAATCTGACCTAGAATTCTGACCCCTTTAATTTGGGTCATTTGATTGCTGGTACACAACGGAGTGGGGAAGGTAGAGCAAAGAGAAAAGGTACGCTGAGCATGGGGTGGGAGGAAGCTGAACATTGCAGACTTGGTAAGCGGCAGCGATATGGGGACTCTAGTGTTCGTTTTGGGGTGTCAGATACGTCTGCCACTACAAGAAAATAGGCCTTCTGTGACCAAAGTTTACGTGACGCTGAAAATTCCGTCACATTTGGCTTGTTTAAGTGAGAGAATTTTGCAAGTCATCACCTAAACGTCTTGAAGGGACGTAGCAAAATTTTCACTCCATGTTCGTCACGTTATAATTTCGGTGTCGTCACATATTAAATAGAGGGAAATATTGGCGCCCAATTTTTTTACTAACTGTGACAAATAATGCACATTCGTCACAGAGCATGAAAGTGAGGGCCAGAAATTTTATTGGGTGAAGCTTGGCAGCGTCACCTATGGCCCAAAAGAAAAAGGGAAAAAAAAAACCAAAGAAAACCCCCAACGGTTCATTCAACCTAATCAAAGCTTTAGTCCCTTCATCGTCATCACAGCTGCACTCTCATCCATAAACCACTGACGACGACCACTCCTCCTCTCCGGCGTCGATGACCACTCCTCTCTGGCAACGACAACCACTCATCTTCTTCTTTCTCTCTTTCTCCCTCTCTCCCTTACTCCCTCTGTCTCCCCATTCGAGTGACCCATTGTCTCCCACATTCAATCACCAACAAATTCTCATTTCAATCTATTCCCTCGACAATGACCACAGCTAATTAAGTCCACCTTCCACTTGTAATCTCTCATCCCCTTGACCCCCACTCTAAAAAACCCACAGGTAAATAGAAATTTCTTCTTTGATTGTTAAATTGTTGATTGTTATTTCCCTGTTCAATTGTTGATTGTTATTTGATATCTTTTCGTTGGCTTTTTCTGTATATTTGAGGTAAAATAGAAATTTCTAATGGTTGTTGCAGTGCTCTTCGCCAATTTTGATTCATGCTTTAATTTGTTATGCATTTGTTATGCATTATTGAGAAGGTAGGCATAAACATTGTTAGTGAGAATGACCACAAAGTCTAGATACTTATTAGGAGTCGGAACAGCCTCATTCTGCTTATGGTATTCTATGTTCCATTTCACTGATGAGCTGTTGCTGTAGCTGCATCCATCACCCCCTGGTGTAACTTGAACTGTCGCTTTGAAACTCTTGTAGTGTTTTGTGACCTCTCCTTCCACAGTTCAGAAGGCGATTGATTTCTTTTTCTCATCTATGGATTCAACTGTCTCTTTCGAAACCTAAGAAAAATTTCCTATCATGGTTTTAGAGAACCAATTAATTAAGGTGGAGGTTAGGTTTATGATAAATAACAGTCCAGCTATGAAATTGACAGTTGTGATTGAATGTATGACAATATAAGAGGAATTTATAACAATGATTTATCTCTCCAGTATATTATAATAATAATTAATATTATATTTGCTACCTTCAGCAATGTAAGTCCATTGCTTGATTGAGCCCATAGAGTTGTCGTCACCTTTAAGCACATGTAGATCCTTTATAATATTAGGGTAGATCTTAGGCAAAAGGTACCCTTTGCTTCCAAAGATTTCATAGAACTTGTCAGCGCATTGGCTTTGATCTCTGCTTGGACTTCTATGTTTGCTATTTGAGCCATATATTATGTATTGTTCAATCGAGAGTTGTATAACGTACCTTTGTAATTTGTATGAAATTAGCTAGAGCCTGGTGAAAAATATATAACTCTCTCTCTCTCTCTCTCTCTCTCTCACTTGGTCTTTATATAGAAGAAATAAATTGTAGACATCACATGTATAATGTATCCTCTTGACTACTTTAGCCAATATTATTTACGGTATGTGTATAAATTGAAATATATTTCAAAAGTTGATGTATGATGCATGTATATATTCCAAAGGTAAGTTTCTTTTACTTTCTGATTTGTGTTGTTTTGATTCATGCTTTAATTTGTAATCTGAACATGGCCAAATATGAGAAATTCTATTTTGACAATTTGACTAGATGAGAAATTGTAGAATAACTTATTTTGACAATAAGTTCACTCAAAAGATAGAGCATTTGATACAGTTTCAATTTCTGATTTATGTAAATAAATCTACACATGCTCAATAATCGCTGACGATTTTATCAACTTGTAGGTTTTGTTCTTTTTGTGTTCCAAATCACCATATACCCATTTGTGGAAAGGCTTCTTGGTCCTGTAATGATTGCTCGCATTGGAGGGGTAATTTTCAGCTCCTGCTCCCTTTGCATTGTTGTAGCTTCTGCATTTTTTTTCTTCATGATAAATGTCTTTCGACATAATGTGTACTGACCTATATTGTTCTTTACCTTTGTGGTTCTTTTTTTTTTTCTGACACATGATTCCCATAATGCAGATTATCACAATACCTCAGCTGTGAAGTTACTCGTTTATAGCAATGTTATCGGGGTTCTCCCTCTACCTGATGTTAAATATTGCATTTGTGCTGAAGAATGTCTTATCTGTAAGTGCATACATGACTTTATATCTCATTTCAACTAACACACTTGTATGCATCCTTGCGTTACAAAGAGTTGGTGAACTACTATTCCACCATCATTTTGATATAATCTCATTAACAACAAAACCAAACTACAACTCTGCCATCTTAAACTGAAAAAAGTAAAAAGAAAATGACTATGTCTACTCCACAACAGCTCACCGATTTGATAAAATTGGGGATTGTTATGAATTTTCAATTGACTGAATTAATTCTACAATTGACTAGGACTTTTGTCATTTGTATTTTGACAATTTGACTCTTCTATGAATCTGGGCAATTTTTTTTCGGTACTTAATACTCTTATATTCAATGACAGTGGTGTAGATTTCGGCTTATATATTCCAAGTATTCAATTTGATATATGATAATGTTGTCATATGTTCAATTGGTTATTGCCCTGGACTTTGCATTCACCATCTTTTGAATTAATTCTCTGTTTTTCTACTTAGAGAAATTAATAGTCAAGTTTATTAGAGTTCCATTTCAGATGCAATAATTTTTCTCCTTTCTTTCTTTTCTTAATTATAAACTTTCTCATGAAACAAATATATTTTCTGATACAAAAAATACCAAAAAAAAAAAAAAAAGTTTGAAGTTTTGTTTTAAATCCAGAGGTAGAGAGACAGAGAGTTCACATATTTCTTTCCTCAACATCATCTATAGTTAGTCATAGGGTAATGCCATTCTAGCTTAAGTTGTCTCAGGATTATTTGGTGTCTGGAGATGTGTCCTTGGTTTATCAGTCACTTATTTGTTCAAACAATATTGGCTGTAACTAGTGTTTCGTATCTAACTGTAGAAAGTAATTTGCAAGTTTCTAGTGAGCAGAAGTTTCCATAACTTTATCTTTTGGACAGTATTGTAAAGAATATTGGAAGGGATTTCATAAAATATTTTGCTGTCAGACTCCCTGAGGTTAGATTTCTATTCTTCGTGATGCCTTTCATTTCTCAGCATGCTTTTTCTGGTTATGTAAAGCATCTTCTTTATTTCTTGACATGTAACAATGTCTGAATGAACTTGGAATACACAATTTATTAAGTTTGAGGATTAACTAATGGCAATCTGGATTAAATTATCTTTGATATCCCTTGGTGTTCATTGCTTACCAATCAAATCATGAATAGACAATGGATTCTTAGTCGGAATCGACTTGCTTCAGACTATAGATAGGGGATTCAATCATTCATTGATGTTGCTTGTCACCATGTGAATGAGAGGAATGAGATATTATGTCCGTGTAGGAATTGCCACAATAAGTTTTTTCACTCTATTGATGTCGTTCATATCCATTTATTAAATTTCGGTATGGATATGAGTTATGATAGATGGATACATCATGGAAAGCATATCCATCAAGTGCAAGGGCAAACTTCTAGATCTATGGATGATGAGCAAAACAATGATCTTAATGTCAACATATTTCATATGATTGATGATGCATTTGATAAACTAGATGATGACGACCAAGATACAATGGGGGACCAAGATACCATATGGGGTGCTGATTTGACCAATGCTCATAGGGTGGATGGGAATAATTATGAGAAGTTGCTAAGTGAAGCTCAAAGGGAACTATACCCTGGGTGTGTTGAATATACAGTTTTGACGTATATTGTGGAGTTGATGCACAACAAGTAGACAGCCACAAGTAGACAGCCACATGACTGACAAGGCAATTAATAGAATGTTAGGAATGATGAAGAAAATGTGTCCCAAACCAAATAATGTTCTTGAATCATTTTATGTGTGCAAGAAGATGTTGAAAGGTCTTGGTTTGGGTTATAAAAATATTGATGCTTGTGTTTATGACTGTGCATTGTTTTATCAAGAACATGAGAAGAAAGATAAATGTCCAGTGTGTAATGAGCCAAGGTATAAGGACAGTGATTATAAGCAAATAAAGAAGGTTCCTAGAAAAGTGATGCGATACTTTCCTCTAAAGCCAAGGTTACAAAGGTTGTTTATGTCGAGACATACAGCCAATGATATGAGGTGGCACAAGGATAAACGACTTAATGATGAGAATAAAATGAGGCATCCAGCTGACTCTATCGCTTGGAAAGAGTTTGACAAAATGTACCTCAATTTTGCTCAAGACCCACGGAATGTTAGATTGGGCCTTGCAACTGATGGGTTCAATCCCTTTGGGAATATGAGCACGTCGTACAGTATGTGGCCAGTTGTTTTGTTTCCCTATAATTTGCCTGCATGGAAGTGTATGAAAAAACCATACTCTATGATGACATTGTTAGTTCTCGAACCTAAAGCACCTGGAAAAGAGCTTGATGTATATTTGCGTTCGTTAGTTGATGAGCTTAAGGAATTGTGGGAAAATGGCATTCAAACCTATGATAAGATGAGTGAGTCTACATTTAATATGCATGCAGCTGTTATGTGGACCATCAATGATTTCCCGGCTTATGGAAATTTATCAAGATGGAGTACGCATGGTAGGTTGGCATGTCCAGTGTGTAATGAGGATACATCATACACAAGGTTGAGAGGTAAGTATTGTTTTATTGGGCATCGTCGCTACTTACCCATGAATCACTCGTGGCGCAAGAATACTAAAGACTTTAATGGCTGCCGCGAGATGAGACAACCCCTTAGGAAATTTTTAGGCGACGGTATCCTTGATCAATTTGATTACCTTCTTTCCCGAGTGCATGGTAAACATCCTAATAATAAAGATCAGAAGAAGAAGTGGAATAGTGAAGAATTAAATTGGACGAACAAGAGTATTTTTTTTGAGTTGGACTACTGGTCTAAGTTAAAAATTAGGCATAACCTTGACATTATGCATATCGATAAAAATATATGTGATAGTTTTGTTGGGACATCGCTGAATACAGTAAAATCAAAGGATACACTCAAGGCGAGGTTGGATTTGCAAAACATGAATATTAGGAAGAATTTGCAAATGAAGCTGAATGATGGCAATAAATTGGATAAGCCTCCGGCCAAGTATGTGTTAACACCACTTGAGCGAAGAGCTTTCTTGGAATGGCTGAAAACAATTAAATTTCCGGATGGTTATGCAGCCAATATATCACGAATGTGATTGTCGATGAAGGGAAAATATCGGGTTTGAAGAGTCACGATTTTCATGTGTTGATGCAACATGTTCTTCCTTTGGGCATAAGAAAACATTTGAAAAAGCAAATTTGTGAGCCACTTGTTGAGTTGTCAAGTTTCTTCCAACAAATATGTGCAAAGACATTGACTGTTACAGATCTTGATAAGTTGGAAGAAAGCATTGTGATCATATTGTGCAAACTAGAGAAAATATTCCCACCAGCATTCTTCAATGCCATGGTCCACGTGGCTATTCACTTGCCTTGTGAGGCTAAATTAGCAGGACCAGTTGGGTGTCGTTGGATGTATCTTGTAGAAAGGTAATTGGGTGTACTTTTTTAGTTATCTTTAATTTGTTTTTCTGCATAATAACAAGTGTGAAAATCTTTAGGTTGTTAGGCACGTACAAAAAATATGTGCGTAACAAAGCTCAGCCTGAAGGCTCTATTGCAGAAGCTTACATAGCGTACGAATCTTCAACATTCTGCTCAATGTATCTATGTGATGTTGAGACAGAACTTACCCGACCTGAAAGAAACAGTGATGGAGGTGATCCCAGTGCGAAGCTTTTAGTTTTTGCTCAAAAAGCTCGTCCATTTGGAGGTCATCTAATGGTTGAAATGTCAAAAGAAGATATGGAAGTGGCTTATTGGTATATCTTGGACAATTGCGACGAAATTGAAGACTTCAGAAAGTATGTGGTACAATTCTTGTGCATTTCTTATGCAATTCTCAAATTGTAACTTAAAATTGTTTTTATTGCAGTAAGCATATTGAGCTGTTGGAAAGAGAGAGTCATGATAATTTACAACGAAGGCACAGGAAGTTGTTTCCCGAATGGTTTAGGCATAAGGCCACGACATTGTATAATCAAGAACCTAGATTGGTGAGTGAAGAGATTTTTGCATTAGCCCAAGGTCCCGATCTTCGTACTGTCCAATATATAGGATGTGTTGTGAATGGCATTCAGTATTTGGTAGCACATGTTGATCGAAACTGCACAACACAGAATAGTAGAGTTATGACTCCGGGGTCGCACAATGGCGAGGGTTGTGAGTTTTACGGCAGCTTAATCAATGTCATAAAAGTGCAATTCAAAAGAGGTTTCAAGGTAGTTCTTTTCAAGTGTCGTTGGTACAACACTGATGCCAAATGTAAGAAAGTTATTCATGATTATAATTTGACATCAGTGAATATAAACAGTCAATGGTATGGTAGTGATCCATATGTGCTAGCTACACAAGCACATCAAGTATTCTATATGGATGATCTAAAGTTGGGTCATCCTTGGAGAGTTGTTCAGAGGATTCAACATAGATATGTGTGGGATGTTCCTGAGAGAGATGATGATGAAGAAGATGATGATGAAGACGACGATGATGATTATAATGGTGAAATAAGATTGGTTGAGGGTGATGATGATGAAGCTAGCATATCATTATGTAGAGATAATGTTGATCCTGAATCTATTGATACTAACAATGATGAGGTCCGAAGAATGCTAGCAAGTAATGATGATGACGACGACGACGACGACGACGATGACAACAATGAATTGCAACTTGGCTATTATGATAATAGTGCAACAAGTGAAGGATATAGTGATTTAGATTGATGTTTTTGGTGAGCTTTTAGAGTAATAATGTTATGAATGTTATGTTTATTAACACTGGGTATGCTTTTACTGTAATATTATATCTAATATTAATTTTGTTCTAACTCTTATTATTTTATTTTATAGATGACAACTCCAAGGCAGCGAGGAAAGAGAGTGAAGAAAGTTAAGAGGTTGAGGGATCGCACACCTCCTCCTCCAGATGATGCACATGCATCACCACCACCACCACCACCGCCACCACCACCCCCACCACCAGCACAGCCACCACTTGAAGAACCATCATCTAATAGTGCAGGTTATATATTTTCTCTTTTTATTTATAATTTGGTTATTCATACATTTTGAACTAATTCATAATAATTTTACATTTGTTTTTGGCTTTATAGATAGTTCCTATGACTTCTCTGGAAAAAAACATAAGCGTGGTAAGTCATGTGGGAAAGGCCTCCATGATATTTTGGAGGCCAATGATGGAAAGAAAATGCTAGTTATCTTTGACTTGAAACACCAAGTCCCCAGTGATGATAAAGTGGGAGCTTTATTCAGTTCCGAGATAGGGAACATTATTCGAACTAGTGCACCAGTATGCCACTTAGGATGGAAGAAGGTTTCAACCGATGATAAGGGGAAAATGCGAGACTCATTGACAGTGAGTTGAATATTAAACTAATATTTATGTATTGGCTATGCAACTAATATTCCACTATCAAACTTGGTTGTTCCTTGTTGAAAAATGAAAAAGAAAAATGAAAATCTAATTATACTTCTACAAGATAATTCTAAATAAAAATTCTATTATGTTAATATTTTCTTCTAAGGAAAACTGAAAACTGTTACTGTTGCACTTATTTCTAAATGAAACACAATTCTGCACTCGAAATTAAACTAGAATATTCTTCCCTTCAATTGTTTTGCTCCATTATGTTGAGATACATATGAAAAACAGCTCGAAAACTAATGCATGGGATAAATCAAGTAATTTTAGTAATTATTGCTATGAGTTTCAAAGAAATGATTACTTGGGAAATTCAAGATATCATATTTGTATAGCGATATAAAAAGGTTTCTACACTAATTTTTATGCATGTTTGATATAGGTATTGTTTGATGTGGATTTATCACATCCAAAGATTCTTGAATATGTGGATAAGAAGATGGCAAAGTTATACTCTCAATTCAAGTGGAGGTTGCATGAACACTACAAGACATGCGGAAACTTGAGGCAGGACGTTCGAATCTACCACACCCTAGTCTATGGAATGGGAGACCAGTGAATCATTGGTATTGGTTGTGTGATAAAGTTTACACTGCTGAAGACTTTTTGGTATGTATTCCATGCACTTTTTTTCTTATTTGTGTACAACTACTTATTAAGTATCATAGTTGTCTATTCATTTCCTCAAACTAATGCAGGAGTTATCCAAGCAAAATGTTGACAATCGGAAGAAACACAAATATCACCACAAGGGTGGTGCAAAGCCATTCATCCAACATGCTATGAAGGCCCATAAGGTAAATGAAACTACAGTACATAGCTTAGTAGTTAATTTGGTTATTCTTACGTCAATTTTGTTTGTTTTGAACTAAAAAAAAAACCAGAATGGAGCATTGTTATCTATGATAGATAATTGGGGGGCTCTCCACAAAGACAAGAAAGGTTAATGGATCAATGATGTTGCTTAAGAGAAACATGTCAGTTACCCAATACTTTGTGTTGATTGTTGGCATATTCTAAGATTATGCATTGCTTGTTATCCAAAACTATTGGTTTATTCTAAGATTATGCATTGCTTTGTATTTACCAATTCTTTCACGTATCTTTCTTCTTTGGAAATTGGCAGAATTTGGAATGCGGGGTAGTGATTTGTTGGCTAGGAGATTGTCTCCTTTTCCTTTTATTTTGGGTATCTTTTTAGTTATTTGTACCAATATGTTGATTGAATCAATGTAGTCATATGAGAAGACAATATGTGTGGTATGCAATGCCTTATTTTTAGTTAAATTGTTAATAATAGATGTCCATGCTTTCTATTTTCTAAACTTGGTTGCAATCAAACACTATAACAGATTATTTTAACCTCTATATGTATTTCTGTTTGTATTTACTGCATTTTTGGAATTTTCTTCCTTGTCCGAGATGTCAAAGATGTAAACTTGAGTCCTAGCCTTGAAATGAATAGTTTTGCTTATGGGAATTGGGTTGGTGCTTAGCATGGTCAATCTTGTTTCCCAAGCAAAATTCATTAACGTTAAAAAGCAAGATTTCAGACAAGTCATACAAATTAAGTCTACTATAGAATAAAAACTTCAGTGGGGGATTCTAGAGATTAAAATTCATATTTTTTTCACTTTAATGCAGGTTTGACGGCATCATATCTTGTTTGATGTTATGAACTAAAAACATAAATCCAATTTTAATTATAATTAGTATAAGAAAGTTGTACAAGGTTTTTTTTTTCTTTTCCTGATTTGTAAATTCAACACATGCCTGCTCCATTTAATTTTCCGGGTGTGGATTTATGGTCATATGTGTTGTGCACTCAAGTCAGTAATGTTGGTTAATTGTGTGGTTTTTCTAAAACTTTCTTTTGTAGGATGAGATGAAGAAAATGCGGGATGAGATTAGGGAGAAGTTGATTCAAGAAGCACTTGAGTGTACTGCACCTGATTCTATACAAGTGCCATTAGATGTTGAGTTTGGAATCATGGGTGAGAAGCTCGGGAGGAGGGGAAGATCAATCCATGGTGTAGGTGTTTTTCCTCGCATGGAGACCTCTAGCTCATCCACTCCTTCTTCAATGGCTTCAAGTTCTGAGTTGAGTGCAATATATGATCAGCTCAAGATGCTATCAACAAATTTCGTCACTTTGCAAAAGGAGAATGAAGATTTGAGAGCCCAATTGAGGTCTGTTTTGACTGCATTTCATGGCCAAACTAGCACCAGCTCTAGAGGTAGTAATGGTGTCCATTCTAATGATGACTATTATGATGAACTAGCAAACCAAAATCTTGATGAGAATTAATTTAGGGATTACATCCATATGGAGCATACACTTACTCTCTAGACTTACTTTTGGTTGTACAAAGTCTAGAATTAGTTTGGGATCTTTATTTTGGAACACACTTACTCTCTAGACTTACTTTTGGTTGTACGAAGTCTAGAATTAGTTTCAGATCTTTATTTTGGAACACAGTTGCTCTACCCTTAATTTTGATTATACAAAGTCTAGAATTAGTTTGGCATCTTTATTTTGGAACACACTTGCTCTAGACTTACTTTTGGTTGTACAAAGTGTAGACTTAGTTTGGGATCTTTATTTTGGAACATACAATGTAATTACCTACTTTTATTAATGGAAATGCGATTATCTATTTTTATACTATACATTGGAAAAGATGAGAAATGAGAATTGTGATTAGATTTACACATATTATTCATAATTAGGTACCTTGGTATGGAACATGTGTGACACAGACCTTCTCACAATCTGAAGAAATATTTGACGCCAATATCGTCACAATTAAAAAGACATCTTATGTATACATCATCACATACTACAAAATTATGTGATGTGTGCATCGTCATACATTAAAAAAATATGTGATGCACGCGTCATCACACATTACATAAATATGTGACGCCTAAAGGGTCACGTATTGTATGGGAATGAGCATTTTATACCAAGTTTAGGAGAGAAATTACTCCTCACAGATGCAGCTAAACCGTGACCCAAATCATGCATCACTAATAGGCGTAGGAAGTGACTAACGGATAGCTACATAATCCGACGTACAGTGACGCGGTATGTGTCACACATATCGGGTATATGTGACGAAGAGAGAAAGCATCACGTGGGAGAATCGGTGACGGGGTATAGGTGACGAAAGCTGTGATGCTAAAATTGCGTCACATATACTCAACTGTACGTATGTTCTAGAAGGATGCACAACAAGTTGTTTTGGTTAAATATGCAGAATTCCTTATAGAAGTCAAAGTTCATGATGCTCTGCTAAATTATTCTGTCGTTTTTTGCGGTATATGCGAGTACCGATGTTGGGGTCAGGCGGAATGAATGGGGTGTCTTGCATGAGCGAATTAACGCCTGTTGAGAAGGGTGCCTAGTCATGGGAGACTTCAATGACATTCTTGAGGCATCAGAGAAGGATGGCGAGTGCCCGCGTACCGTGCTGAGCATGGATGCTTTCTGCAATTTTGTTACGGCTAGTAATCTGTTGGACTTGGGATATGAGGGGTGTCCGTTCACATGGAGGAATAGACGGGATGATGGGGGTATCCAGGAAAAACTTGACAGAGGTCTGGCTAATGATCACTGGCTTCGTTCTTACCCTGAAGCACACGTGGTTCATCAGGTGGCTGAGGGCTCAGATCATGTTATGTTGTTGCTCTATACTCTGCATACCTCTCCACGTAGAGCATCTCGTTTTATTTTTTATCCACGATGGAGTGCGCTGGAAAAGTGTCATGATTTGGTTAAGGAGCGATGGCGGCGGGGGTTTCGTGGGCTAGGGGTTTGCAGGTGTTTGAGAAGCTTAAATGGGTACTGAAGGGCCTTGTGCACTGGAAACAGCAAGAGTGGCGAAACTCCAAAATTTGCATTGATAGATTGAGAACGGAGCTACAAACTGAGCTCTAGGCTCGTGAATATGACGGTAATAAGGTGAGGCGGCTTGAAGTGGATCTTAAAAAGGAGTTACAAAAGGAGGAGTATTGGGAGCTAAAGTCTCGGGTACAGTGGTTATGCGAAGGGGATAAGAACACCAAATTTTTTCACTCGAAGGTTCTAGTCCGGAGACGAGTTAATCAATTACTGGGGCTTGAGGATCCAAGTGGAGTTTGGCATGCGGAAGCATCTGATATTAGAAGGATTGCGGAATCCTATTTTCAGGATCTCTTCTCTTTTGATAACCCGATGGGTGTTGGTGCCATTCTGGAGTGTGTTTGGGCATCTGTTACTTCTCAGGACAATATGTTTATG